GCCTTGATCTTTCGTAAGGTCCAATACCTCCAGAGTGATATCAGCCTGAGATCGGACTGCACACTCCGCTCAGCATCAAGACTACAGTAACTAACCTTCGATGAAGGCTCCATAGTCTTGGCGCGCTCTACGGTCTTCACGCGACATATCACACACTTGCCGTCATCGTAAACTCTTTTTGCGCAATCAGTACAAAACCTAATAGCAGATGAATATATGCTCCATAATGTGCATAGGACTAGGGATGCTACACATGCCCACAGGGAGACACTGCAGTCGTAACGCTAGCTCGGCTGCAACGCACGCAGAGCGAGTATTGTGTCGTTTCTCTTCCTCTAGCACGGAGACTGGACCTGATCGTATGCCTGCTCATCCTAATCTCTGTTGATACTCTCCTCACTACATTTCGTTTTGCAGAGCATTGATGTGGTCCATATCGATCTCTTTGACCGCTCCCGCGAACCTTTCAGACACGCTATGAACTATCCCCTCATAGGCTGCCACCAGCTTCCGTAGTATCTACTACGCTACTGTTACACTAATCAGGATCATCACCATCTACATCTGCTTCTCGAGTGGCGATTTCCAGTTTCCTTTCGTCCCGAGCCATAGTAATCTAAGAATAGAACATGCAATGTATACATTCAGTCAGAAAAATTCAAGCAGATAAATGAGGAGAACCAAAGAGGGGTTAAATCGCATAGGGCTACCATCATCTACCTGGGTTTGTCCGAAGCGGAAAGACCGATCGACAAACATGTCCTTCAACCGGTTAATGGTAGCACTCAAGGTCGCAATAGCTTTCCGATGTGCTTCAGCATCTAAGGAGATAGACATTGTAGGTCGGAGAACATTAGAATTACCGTTCTGCTCATCAGTTCCACGGCTGTGCAAAGCCAAAGCCTGCGAAGCAGCCTGATCCGCTTCAACTCGATCGAAGTAGCTGAAATCTGGCTTGATGAGATACATCTGCCGCTGGATGCCTGTACCCTTCACCTTGAAACTACAGTCGAAGTGTTTACATATTTGACGTATCTAAGAACGGATTCATCCGTGGAACCAACTCTTGCCATGTATCAACAAAAAACCTCTCGACAGCCTAATATATACTCTCAACAGGGCGTGGGATTCGCGACGTAACAGTTGCTGCTCCCTGGCGCTATCTGGTGTGAATTTCCCCTCAATTACCACGTCCCTCTCCGCCGAGTTGACCGTCTTAGGAAGAGCTTTGGAGTCCTTCCCTGATTCTAAGAAGCTCTCCACCTCTCGCCACCATGGAGTTTGCCGTAAGAAGTGCAGGGGCTTCTGACCGGACATGAACAACAATCAACTGATGGATGATGACCACTCATTTAGCATTGCTGAATCAGCGAGCCACTCAGGCGCTTCGAGCGTCAATCTCCAGAACACCGGTGCGACACACGTCCTAGTCGGGCATGAGCTAACTCGGCTAGATCCGAGGACATTTGATTCGTTCTGCTCATCTCGGGAATGCATGCTGGGTTATACATAGCATAGCCCGGCAGCACGTTTGACGGTTCGACCCCATCTAAACAAGGGGAGGAGTCGAGACAGCTCGGGAGAGGCCGCATACTCTGCGAAGAAGCACGTGTAATATCTGGAGTAACAGTGTCAGCATGAGAGAGACTCTTCCGTCGCCAGTTGAGCAAACTTGATGATGCATAAGCTACCGTTCGCTCTGATAGAGTGTGTTTGACTCCCAAATGATTACCATAGTTCCCAATGAGATTAGGAGATGGTACCAATTGCGATCGTGGAGGAACCCCGGGAGAAACTGTCGAGTTAGCCCCCAGTTTGATTTCGGATTTCCCTCCGGTGACGTTGATACCAACAATGATGTCCTGGTAGCAAAAGTCTCCAACAGGGAAAGTACACGTAAGTAGGTCAGGTGTGCCCCGCTGGACTTAGCTGTAGTGTTCATCTCGAAGTCGTCTGAATTAACGCTGTCAGCCTCTGCATCGATGCCATGACTGTTGGGTGCCCGTCGAAGCTGAGGCAGGAACACATGTCCTCTTCGTAGTGCACCGAATGCTACGCGGGTGGCCCCACGAAGAGATAGCCGTGCCGACTTGCTGGTCGAAGAAGGAGAATCTTCACCCATAGTATCGCAAATACTATTCCAGGAGATTCAGCTACTGACCGTATCACCTTTGCTCACGCAGCACACGATCCCCTTGCTCGACTCCCTCACGCATATCCTCACACACAGCCAACTACTAGCAACATATGTATGCAAAAGTATGCATACATGTATGTATGTATGTATGTATGTATGTATGTATGACGATCGCATGGACGTCTCGCATGTATGTATGCGACACTGTATGCAAAAGCTACCATAGGTTACCTAGTACATATTGATCCGAACCAGCAGGTCCAATTTCGCTCACCCTGCCGAGAGGGACCATAGTGTGACTGTTACGCACAAGATGATATTACCTGAGATCCAAAGCTCCTGCAGCACTCTGCCGAATGACCATGGTCGAAGCCTCATAAATGAGTTGGAACGATCCGTCCATTGATAAATACACTAACACCACCCAGCACAATTCGAGAAAAGCACACATGTTCATAAATATAACCCGGTTCAGCGCTGACGGAGTTGCTCGGTATCCACTATCTGGCTATCCTCTATTATTGCCTTCAGCTTTACTTTCTCGTCCTCAGTGAGCTGAACTAGAGGAGCACGGCACGGCCCTCCATGTAAGCCGACAATGTCCATCGCGTACTAAGTGCGAGGCTACTACTATGTTGAGAAAGGTCACCCTAGTACCTTCAATCCTGGCATTCCGAATTGCGAAGTGACAGCAGTGTTTATCTCAACTGCGCGAAGCTGGTGTGTCATAGCAGCAGTGAAGTCGCCATTATCGAAGGCATCTTGCTGACCAGAACGATATTCACCACAGTCCTATGACCCATCGATCACACTACAATATCACAGCAGAGCTGTGGTGCAATATTTGCCAGAGCGCATACTCCACCAACAGCACCGATAGACAAAGCAGGGAGGAGAAAGCCAGCACTACCGGCTAGCAGACTGAACTCCGCCTTATCGGTGCCTGTATGAGTCGATCACGGCAGAAACGTATCCCAACCCACGTCTGCTAACTGTTGCCATTTTGACAACATTGCCACTGGAGTCCTTCAACCCAATGATGTTCTTATGCTTTGCCAATCTGCAAATAGCCGATACTGACAAGTCCACCCCAGTATTAGCCGGCATGTTGTATCTAACGTCCACTACTGAGCAGGTTGTAGATGGCTAGTATTGTCTACAGTATAACCGGGATAGGGCTGGCATCAGCGATCGCAGTATAGTGTAACAACATTGCCTCATCCGACATCTGTGCCTTATAACAACTGGGGGTAAGCACGAGTGCCTGCTTGTCAATGGCCAATCCCATACCCTCTTTTGGGGGCTCTACCGCATCAGCTCCGACCGCCGCTACTCGTTTGGTGAGGTCAATAGTAGCAGCTGTCGAGCCTGCCTCCGTTCCTACAATTAACTGCCACTTTGCAGGCATGTGTTTACGAACAACTTCGACCTGATGTACCTAGGGTCTACTCATCAGCTTAGAGTCTGTCACCCATGCTCCCACTCGTTCGTCAGGTGTCAACAATACATATTCGCCATTGCTCCCTTGACACACGATACCAGATAATCCAGCCGTAGATGCCCAGCGCCTGCAAGAGCCAGTACAGTACTCCTATTCGGGCACTGCAATGACTACTGAATATTGAATATCATCTTCTCGTCATCTGGACTACCATCATCACCGAATGGTGTTGCAATGGGAGGATAAACTCCTCTCAAAGTAGCCACTGTCACTGCAGGCATGAACCAAAGAACTGCAGATCTACGTCAAAGAGAAAACTCGACACCCCAAACCTGATCCTACCACAAGAACTCCTTCACGATAGTACACAAGTCCTACAAGGGTCCACGCAGATGGTAAGAAGTTCCTCATAGGCACTCAAGAAACGATTGATTGCCATTCGCATAACACAACACGAGCCACTTTAGCTGTGAGATTCCGCTGTCCCAATAAGATAAATGTTCCAGAACACTTTGACGATGTCAGAGCTACCATAGATACGATAACGATTGCGACTTATTCCTGGCCAGAATGTTGTCGTGAGTGATGATATCGTATACAACAACCAATGACAACTTCATGTAGCACAATGTGTACTACTCATGCCTTCAGCTTGGCATCGACATATCTATCCCAACACTTCCGGCCTGATAATAGGAAATACTCAGTCCACTGATCGGAGAAGGACCTACTGCAGAACTCATCCATCTTCATCGTTTGCTTAGGAGCTGGTCTAGAATGCTGCTGCCTTATGCTGCTATCTTGGCTACCGGATCCATACCTGACAACGACAAGTAAGCCGAGCGCATCCGAGACATCATCAACTTACAGGACTGTATTAACAGCTGAGCATGTGGTACCACACATAGCGCATTGGGCCTTCTTATTCACTGTAGGGGCCGTCTTGGTTTGATCCTTCAATACCTAGGTAGAATAACATAAGACCTCATCCTCTATGAACTGGAGCGTACCCATCTAGGGAACCATCCTTCTTTCTTCCCACCCTGGCCCACAACAGTACCCAAAGTCCATCCATTGATTGTTTGATGAGATATCCCTCCCCTGATCTGATACACAGGAGAATTCAACCCTACCAAGATCATGGCAACTTCCTCTTCCTTATTACCGATATTATATCGCCAATCATAATGGATAGCTCGTTCGGCCTGTCATTAGAATCGTAGGCCCTCCGGGCAATGTAGGTCGAAGCGATGCTAGGGGCATTATGTTGCATCTTGCCACCTCCGGCATGAGCAGAACTGGGGCGACTTTGTCGAGCACTAGGTGATGTTACCACACCAGCTGAGAGTACATCATAGCTGTCCCTGTTGCCCAGTCGGCTTACCTTCGGTCACAGCGTATCCCATACCTTCCCGAATAGTTTTGCATCTAACATTTACAAAGTATAAAACATTGCCATACGATATGCCGACCTGTTATCAGGGACCCAACCCAATCTAGAACCATCACCAGATACACACAGATTCCATCCAGCACGGGCTCTACGCTGCCACACTACGACGACCTCGCCTTCTGATACCTGCGTTCTTAGGGCATCAACTCAGATATAGATGGATCCACACTGCCTACCGGTAGGAATTGATCTAGACTATCGCTTCCAATCATGATCGTGTGAGGATCGAAATCACGTATGATGGATGCTCTCTCGGCCAACACTGTTGGCATCTTAGCAGCAGCTTCAGCGGCAGCAGAACCTATAAATTGACGTAGTGTGTGGGACTATGAAGGAAATACTGTATCCCACCTTGAACTTCTCTATCAGCATTGGCTATAGGCTGAGCTCCCGAAGGCACGAGACCTTCAGACTCGACGTATTCATCCAACCGCTTGAGGCAATACGCAGGAAACCATCCTTCGGAGCTCGAACGGGTTATGTTGCTGAACGATAACCAGGTCTCGTCAATGGGAGTATCCTCAGCACGAACGTAGCGTACGGCACTTCTACTTACGTCCCGTGCACCCACAGACCATTCTCGCTCTTGTCGTCAACTGAAACTTGATCATGGACCCCCACGGATATGACATGGCCTGAACATTGATCGCTCAGTGAGGTGAACAACATCGATTCTAAAGCCCTACTACCTCCTAGTTCCTGACTATTGGCCTTAGCCCCTTCGAACGGTATCATAACAGTATGGATCTTGGCTGTTTGGCACTGCCCTTCATGTTCCGACTCCTACAACAACAGCAGTTCGATGAGAAAATCTGGATACCATTACCTCGTCACTGCCTGCTTTATCAGTCTGAGTATGGAAGCCGGGTTGGGTGGTGTTGGGAGCTATCACGACTCCTGACTTACACGCTCTGCATTCTTTAGCATGTGCTTGATATCTGATAAATCGTATTCACACTATATACAAACCAGAGAAATATGTTACGTAGAATAGGTTCCTGTCCAGTGACAACTACCAGTGGGATCAAAGTCTGGGTCATAATGGCACTCTGAAACACGGAAGAAAAATGGACCCATTTTTGCCGTTAAAGGAGAGACCCCGCTACTTATTTTCAAACTAGAGAGCATCTTCCATATAGACTGACACTCTGGCCGCTGGGGATCCTAGAGCAAGAAAAGAGAATGCGAACAATACTGAGTTGGTTGTAGTACCGGTGGGTTGATAGAAAATATCTCCTTCTTATCATTGAGGGGAGTCTTGCAGACCGGGCACGGAACATTTCGTGCTTGGCCGGCAGTCCTGGCCACCTGGACCCAACTTCGGAAGGTAGGTTGAATTTGGCTCCATTCTTCCAGACAGTCCCCACAGAACATATGTGAGCACTTTGTGATCTTGGGATGGCAGCCAACAATGTAGGTATGGCAGATCTTGCAGACGAACTCTTCTGACTCGGGAGTAGGATTGAGCAATTGATCAGTATCAATCTTTATCTCATCAAGAGGTAGCTTATGGATTGGATCGTCAAGAGTATGGCTAGAGTCTTCCAGATCCGAGCCTAACATCATCACACAACGTCACTGACGAAACACCCACTAAGAGCCCACTCTGAAAGACGAGGATTTCAACAGCAGCATTAGATGCCACGACTACTAGCGATTCCACCGAAATACAGAAATTTCGTAGCTATATGATTCCGAGCAGAATACGGAAGGAGGAGAGCGATATTACTTTCGACCGCCTGCGGGCTATGAGCCGTTCCTGATGCTGATCCATGAAGAGCAGCTGAATCTTGTCTTGATACTGTTGACGACTGTCTGCCAACGCTACGCTTGCCAGTGCCTCGAGAGGTCATGGTTACGATGCTGGGAATAGTCACTCGAAAGCGAAATGTTCAACACTGAAGGAACTTAACATCACGCACTAGACTCGAATAACCTTACGATGAAGTGAAGTGAAAACCTCACTCATCGCAAATTTCCAAATCATCTAGAGAGGAATGCTAATGCAGTTCGATAATAACATATACTTTTAAGTCCCTTACGGTCGAATACAGAGCATAACACGCTTGATAAACCCCAGCAAGCGGCTCATAAGCAACGACCCCAACTCAACACGATCTATAGGTATAAAACTGTTATCATGGAGCTATGGACCAAATGTGTGACCATAGCCGCCCGTCGATTTGCATGTTTCACGATCCGTCACTCTTGCTGAGATGAGGAGCTTCCAACGAGTTGTGAGATCCACCTGAAGAGCGAATGCACAACTCACGAGCATATCCTCGTCCCACCACCGTATTGTTGAGATAATATCTGTTCCAAGGGTAGAGGCCAATGTACCGGTGGGGGCTCCAGACATACTACACCCTGCTTGTTCCAAAAGGAGGCACCATACGAAACATAAAGCTCTTCACCAGGGAATATGTACCTACACGAACTAACTATTCTATAACCTGGACAGACTGTGTTTGACCTTGTAGCACGAACCACAACTGCCTTCATAGCTGTTGGGACACCCTTAGATCTCCCGAGTGAGCCTCCATTGGTAGTCACATCAACAATGTGGAACTCACAGTTATTGAATGTGGTACCTTTACCCCCCATATTGAGCATTTGACCCACATACATCCCTTGCATAAGACAACTGTGCATACCATCCAAATAGGATAACTTCTGCATAAGTGGAATACAGTGGGTAGATAACTCGCCGCCACCCTCATCCTTCATGAATGCTCGCTGTGCTTCACTGAACATGTGCCCCCAGTAAAGGCTCACAAGCTCATGACGAAAAAAGGGTTTCTCTGCATATACTCCACGCCCACCAAAGGGTATCCGTGACTTGCGTATGGAGATAGCATGCGTGTCACCCACACGGAAAGCACTCGATTTGAGCAATCCCATGCTATATGCCGTACCATTGACGAATATACAGTTGTCGGGGAACTGATCTCCTGGATAGGGTCTCTCCGCTCGTGGTTGCTCATACGCTTCCTCTAGCGATGAGTCCAACACCATGAACTTACCATACCACTCCGCTTGCTGTCGATACGGCTCCAACCCTCGAGCTTCTGCCTTGTCGAGATGGACGAAGTAGACCGCCGTGTACATAACAATCTCCCGACCACCACCACCCCGAGTAGACGGCTGTTGACGGGTCCACCGTTCGATGTCTGCTTTGGTGGGAGCACAGTCCGATACCTCAGCCAATTGCCTATCATCATCGACCCATCTTATGAAAAACCGAGCTTCCCAATCTATATAGTCTATCAAAACTAACTCGGACTCAGCAACGACTATAACCTTCCGCGCGAGGTACTCCTCCTTGAATTCATTATACTCTGGCTCGAGTGTTACAGGGGAACTCTGAGAAATCGTGTTCCCCAACGACGCCGCCGCTTCAGAATCATAACAACTTGGCCAAGACTTGGTGGGTAAATTGACTCGAGTAAATGGTGAATCACTGGCTGGCTTGCTAGTCCTCAGTGAGGCCGCCCTCCGGCGCACAGGTGGAGATATACTAGGCTTCTGAAAGGAGAAAGAAATAAAGGATGACAACTGAAAACCTCCCCGAACAGTACCTCATCAATTTGCTCAGCTGTTGAAGTTGTGTAACGCGAGCTCATGCACAAGACTCACTTTAAATGATAAATGATAAATAAGAGCTGTCGAGATCTTTCCCACATCCCGACCAACTAGTAACCTCAAGAGCACCGTGTAGGCATTATTCTGTTGAAATTGAGTAGTTACAAAGTCGCACTATCATGCCATAATGAACGCTTGTAACACATGCTTCGTGGTGGTCACAAAGCTTGTGCGAGATTCCGAAATATTCATGTAGCATACATCACAACAAAGATTACGAGGATATGAACAATCAAACTATATGGTGAACATTGGGCTGATGCCTTAGAAGTAGATACCAGATAAGTGACTTCCCTTCCACAGGGCTAGCTCGGAAACTCGCTTTCTCCAACTCTTCTTCGCCTGGAATTGAGTTCCCGTACTTGTAGTACTCACTGAGACTTGTGATGCTACTAGGAGATTGAATTCTCCCCATCATGGGTATATGACCTCACCGTACACAGGAACCTGTGTGATAACCATACAACTTCCTACCTCCTCACCACCTCCTCTTACCTAGAAAGCTGGTGGATGCCTACTGAAGCATCTATCTACTACATCTAGACGTCATCTGCTCTTTTTGGACCTACCTCATTGTGAACACTGCTAACCACGAGCTGTTCAGTCGAATGGCCCATCGAGCGTGTTTTAAAAGGTCACGAATACCATTCGCACCTTATACCCTTCTCTACGGAGTCACACGATGAGTACTGTCTTTCGAATGAGCCTCTCCACAGATAGCCTGATATGAGCTAAGGCGGTGACGCCTCACACGCTTAAGGTTACTATTGAGAGGTTCTTCACAACTACCCGGGTGGCGGACAATGGCAAGCGCACGCCGCTAATTGGCCATCCGTGGTATGTACTACTACCGTCCCCCGAAAGTCTCACAATGCGCAACCCTGTCAGTAGGGTTATGAATCTACAGTGATGTACTCAGAGGGCTCACTAGAAACACTACCAATACCCTCGTAGACTCTAGATATAACGAGGACAGCAGCCTCGGTTACCATTTTGATGCTGACTTTGTCATCGCTACTGATGAGAGCTCTGTTTAGCCATCCTACTCCCATCCTTCTTTAACAAAATCAAGGCGCGCGCGACTTCATTGAGATAAATCTTGATATCTTACAATATTGCTGTGGGCCTACGTCTTGGCGACTCGGGCGGGGTTTTTCACGTTACGCCGATTGGCGGTTTTCCACGGAGCCAACTAATACGGTATGCATTGCGGTCGAGTACTTCCCCTCGCGCTTGAACGTGGGGGAGGTAGGATAGCAGATCATCGACTCTAGCATTTGACCTCCTCACACTGACCGAGCTCCAAAATCCGTGGGATGTAGTAGCTCGGTTGAAGATCCATATCATACTATATGCTGGTGTCAATCTCGATGAAGCTGGTCCGAGGAACTCAGTCTCGAGGTGGCAAGAAAAGTTTCGGAAGCATCATTATCACTGCTGATCGAATAGTACAACATCGGTCACATTAACCAACATAGCGGAGTGAAACTAAAACTTTCCATAACTGAAGGTGTTCACTTCGGTAGCATTGCGCGTCATAGACTCCACGATCCAGGATTTTATCAAACAGAAACTAACACAAATCTGAAGACTAGCATTAATAGAGACTATCGAAACTACAGCTTTTGATAGCAGTATGGGAATAATGATATTGGTGTTGCTCTATGAAGAAGAATAGCGTGTTAATATCGAGCCCAATCCGACCCAGGGATGAATGTTGGGTCCTTATTAGATAGAACATATATAGGTCGGCCATACAACACATAACCCGACATTGCAATCGCTCTTGCAACGGAGCCGATATCGACGAACTGCACGTATGCAAAGCCACGAGGCCTGCCCGTTTCTGCTATTATCGGGATATGCACTTCGATTATAGTTCCACAATGAGAGAAAAGTTCTAGCAATGTTTCATGAACTATCTCGGGAGACAAATTAGACACAAAAACGGAGGAGTTCCCCCACTTAGACCACGACATAAGTTTAGGACGGAATTTCTTTCTTCTCGGCCCCCCGCATAATCCGCAAGAAGTCTCAATATGGTCATTTTGATCATCAACTGATTCTCGATCCTCGTCCGTCGTAGACTCAACATCCATGGAATTATCATCTACACACAAGAGACCGAATGAGCTAACCCTTAGATGCACTGACTCACCGATAAGCATTTCATCAAAGCCCCTCTTGGCCATTGTATGACATTCAATGGAGACTAAGACTACTACCAAGACTGAACATATTGTGCGGAACAGCCATTCACTCATATCAGACCTTGCCGCAGCAGAATGTAAAGCCCGTTCAGCTTGAGAAACTCAACCCACTAAGTCGGGGAGCAGGCGAATAGAAATGTATTGAGATGCGACATGAGGCTCATCGTATCAGGATGCTACATGAAAATGGAGTTGGTAATTTAAAAGCTATCATTACGGGAATGTCTACCTGCACCGATTCAATCATGTATAAGGATTTCATGTCTAATTTAGCAGAGCCGGGCCTCTACTATCCTTACTGATGGATGTGAGGAAGTTGTTGAGTGTCCCGAGAGATTGAAGTACTGCACCAGGGGGCCAGCAATCGCAAACACGCCGCTAGACTCAAGAATGAACATTATCTGTCACCTGTAGGTGACAATAAGTAACTCTAGTAGTCCATGAGGAACCGGTCGACGTAAACACTAGGTCCTGAAATCAACCAGCAGGGGTCTTCAATACGGAAGTCTGTCCACTATACGTTACCTTTGCCAAAGCTGCATCATAAAGAATACTCAAGTCATTACCATATTTGTATGTTGAGATAAGACGACTCCATTTCCTCATGCTGTTGACATGGCATCTGGAGAAGCCATCGTACCACTTTCAAAAGGTATTAAGCAAGGCAACCTTGAAGTAAATATCCTTCGAAACCAATTATAATAACATAACTACAAATTATCGGGCTGGCTTTGGTACAGGGATCATTTGAAACTCCTCCTAAAAGCCATTATTCCAATGCCGCTACGGTACAATGCGAACATTACCCTAGCCTTTTCTATCATATCAGCCATCATTCTATGTTCGTCTTCTAGTGTATTCTCTCTGTATGACAACGATTGCTTCCGGAGGTACCTTATCAATCCATGACCATACTACGGCGATAGTCGTGTTACTTCATCTCATATTGCTTATCCATGACAACACACCCTACATAGACACCAAAATAAGTCATGATGCAGAGGGGTATGCCTGCACTGAATACCCAGTATCTGAACCAACCTCACTAGGGCATACTCAATGTAGACTGTATCACTACTGTTGATCAAACCGCCAGACCCTCTTCTTGAAGAGGCTCCATTGTTGCCTATGGAATAGTCTAAAACTCCCGGAGGCTGGTGAGAGCATCACGAGCCGCTGAAGCGGCGACTAAGAAGATGATGGCATTCATCGCTGAGCCGAGGGCTTAACGCAAAGCAGCTTTATTAAGGCGAAATGTGTCTTGCATCCCTTATAATAGTAGTAGTGTCAACACTCCAGAGTTGAACCCAATGGGTATGTGCTTGAGGTCATGAAGTGTCTGTAGCTACCTTTCTCACTTAATAACTAACGATGTACGTATGAGCGCAATACCATGTGGTTTACGCAGCAATGATAGTTCAAGCATAACTGTACAGGATAACACGTGAGCCATAGAGACCTCCATAGTTACCGTCTCATAGGAGACTCCACATCGGGCCCTCCAACGAGTAGTCATCATTAGCTTGCATTAATTGATTAAGCGATCCAACTATGCACCACCCGCAGGATCCTTCGGGCAGGCTTCATAGTTATACCCACAAGACCGATGCTTCTGGTCGCAGCGCATACGTTGGATCTCCTGTGGTGGAGCATTCGTGGTTCACAAGCATACTCCTTCGCTGTAGTCATTACCTCCTCCATATAGGCTCGAAGCTGTTCTCTCATCCGATACTGTTGGAATGATAGCTTGGGCAGCATCTTCTGCTGCTGCTGCTGCTCTTGAGATCCTCGCAGTTCATCATGGCCCACCGGAGGTAAGCACTGTCCCTTGGCCTCACAATATTGGCCTGCCTGGGGATGATAGATGCGATAGTCTGATAGGAAACATGTCAACGCTGCTTTCCAAAACCCTCTTCATACCTTTGCCAAGATTTGTGGAAGAACGCAACCTCTTAGGGGGAGGGTCAAGCGAAGGCCTGATATCAGAGCAGAAACAATCGTAATATACGATTCGTGAAACCACTCCAAGTGCGTGAGTCTGGCGGTAATACTAGTGCTGACTCTTACAACTACACAAAAGAAGACGCGTATGTGTTCAGACGATATTACATATTCCATGTAGTATCAGATGCCCGGCGTTTATTAGGACTAGTGAAAGCCATAGTTCGATCGTCCACTTCCACGTATCGTTGAGGAGGGTGTTCGCTTCTCGGGAACACCATTACACGGTGGAAATCAATCAATTGTCAACCACCGGAGGGTAATAGGCTCAACAAGCAAATGCTGTAGACGATGTATACGTTTTCTACGGGAATCAACAGAGATTGAATCTTGCTATCTCGCGTGGGCTTGTCAAAACGTAACTTTGTGCGCCACCAGTGAGAAAGATCTTGTAGTTTGAATTGTAGCTCCAGCACACTTCCAAAGAGTGTGTACATAGAGGCCATAGGCATCACCTGAGGGATGAATGACTAACCTCTCAACGAAGTGGGAGGGTACTGTAGGATTTCATTACTGTCTCGTAACCCATATTTCACACCTCGGGTGATACAGGCTAACTTTACCATCCTAGTGTCCGTTTATCGATGCCACTACCAGTGAACATGGCTACTTCCAGGCTTTCTTGTTTGACCAGATTGCGGCCAGGTGATTCGGGAAAGCTGCATCTCCCTGAAACCCTCTCCGTTTCAGGATATCGCACTCCGACATTTCTTGTTCATAAACTCAATTTCGCAAGTCAGACGCCCCGTTTATGGAGTGGGGGCGACTTCAAATACAGAAAGGATGATGAGGTTGAGTAATACACTGGTTTGAGGTAGCATGTCGATCAGTAGGCGGTTCAGATACACTGAACAACATGTCAAGAGATGGAAGTCTTGGATGGGCGACGAGTATGCGAAGTATAAGTAATAATCTGAGATTATGCTGTAGAACTGTCATTACTTTGACCTATCACGAACGATGAACTGATCGCTTGGCGCAGACCCTTCGATGAGTTGTCTAAAGGAGGGCTTATTAATGTGAACAACTTTATGAAAATAGTCAAGAATAAGTAATCGGTCGGTGAAGCCCACTAAAGACTGCCTTCATGTGTGGAGAACAGGTCGGAAGCACGGTGCCTCCCAAGTCCCTCCATACCTACGCTATGAAGCTTTGGCGAGAGTAGGTCTCTATCCCTCGTTGTTATAATCATGCCTTCTAGGTGGGATGAGGATCAGTCTAATTTCATCGACTTCGCTGAGTTCATCCACCACATGAAGTGAGTGTCCACAATCTCGCTAAGGGTAATTCTTACCCAGGATCTTCGACATGCATCTGTTGAAGAGTGCTCTGCGTGAGGAGTCGAAAGCAGCCGACACGTTTGAGACTTATAAGAACCCCAACAGTGGAAAGCTGGATGAAGACGGATTGTTCGAGATTATGGTGGCCAACAACTTCCTCGTTACCACTACCACCGATGCTGAGGTACTGCCTCTCTACCTTCGGGAGGTCGCTGTAAGTTGCTCCGCAGAACATACTCGCTCAAGTAGGAGACGGCAAATCTCTATCGAAAGAAGAATTCCTTCGATGGATCAATGAAGATTGATTCTCGGTGACATGAGTGCAGGGAACGTTTTCAACATCAAATGCAGGACTACCCTACCTTTGACGTCATCATTAGGATCGCATGTATCACCCCTATTCTTAGTGTATTGGAAGTCTTTGGTGCTCCCCATTGCAGAATATGAGACTTTTGATGTCACCTTGTTGCTTCTGAGTGATTCAATCCTGAGGAGTATGGGTATCACAGCTCGTTCATTGAACCATATGTCGTATCAGCTGACTGGTCGCTCTACCGCCAGCGTTGCGTTACTCACTGGAGCTCTCACCGCAATAGCCCTGGTAAGACATATTCCTAATATCGACTCTCATGTCTTGTATCCTTCGTAGGGAGCTCTAGCCATGCGGCGTCGGTCTCGGGCAATACACACATCGTTGGTCAGAAAGCTTACAGTGGACGGACCAGCTCTCATCTCACGTGTGTTGGATTGCTTCAGCCTAGCACTCTTTGATGAGCTCTGGGGACCATCTGTTGAGTGCTGGCTCGCTATGGAAGAAATTGAAGTAGACAATGCGCCTGAGGGGATGCAGAGCATTCCACTTGTCTTCAGGCGCGTAATATCCCTAAGGGGAGTACTAAAGACAATGAGCCTACTCTATCAGTTGCCGCGAGGTAGAACCATGTCGGAGTATCACCACATACCGTTAGGATCATCACAGATTCCCTTCTATTTGCCAGAGACTGCATGCAAGACAGAGCGAAGTATTAGCGGACTTTCGTGTTACCGAGAGATCGCTGCAACAGGCTGAGCAATGGTGGAATCAGAAAGCTTTGGTGAGTTGATTGAAAAGACTTCAGACGGTGGTCGAACTATTCAATGGCAGGCTGCTGATGACACGGATTCTCCAGCTGTGCTTGGGAAGTTTAAAGCGATCACACACATGCTCGAAGTTGAACCTGATAGATTGGTCGAAGCCCCCGAAAGCTTGCTAGACCAGGTTGTTTCCGTACTGGCTCGGCTACTCCTCAGCGGGGTGTTGCTCAGGCTCGAGCCGAATATCCAACAGATGCTTCAATGAGGGATGCTATCCGAAAGTACCGAGAAGATCTACCAAGCTTGAAGGGCTTTGACATCGACAGTCCTCCTACACTCGATGACTTTAGAATTCTGTTCGAGAGGAAGCAGCAACCGCTGCCCATAACGGTAAGTATATCGTTTACAGCTGTTCGATACTGCCAATCCCGCCAGTTACGCGCGAGGATATCAGAGTTAGTGAATTTGGGGAATAAGACCGTCGAGGAGGAACTCAGAGAGCTCTTCACTGCCCGTAGCGCCACTTCCAGTTCTCTTAAGCGGCCGTTACAATAATCACTTACGTAACGTGCGAAGAGTATTCATGTAGCTAGAGTAACTCCAGTTTCCGTTTTATAGTATCAGTTTCAGCATAGCTTGTCTAAGTGTTGTGCATCGGGAAGGGATGAAGGTTGCGATCTGGAGGCATCAAATGCAATAAGACGCGAGTAAAAGTTCCATTCATCCCACCATTCGAGGATGATGCTGCCAATACGCGAGGTGGGAATTTCTTGGTATGGATCAAACTCGGTCATATATTAAACCTTGGTAGTAGTCACAATGACATGAATGGAGCTGATCCTCTAGTTTTATCCTCGCCTCGAGAACCTTGATCTGCTACTATACTAGTGGAACAGTTCATCCGGGGTAGTGGGACTGGCCGACATTACTAACGAGTTCAGGGATTGAGCATCGAGCCACGACCTCAGACTGGACTGTGCATTCACCCGATCGGGGCATGTATTCTCTACGTTAACTCGGCAAATTTCACTGAACAATTTCACTGTATGCGAGGTTGATTAGGACTAAACCAGAAGGCTTAGATAAAAGGGGAGGGTGATGGCCGTGACGGTAGTAGAATTCCTCCTAGGGGCTCCCGACGACTACTTCTGCTGCCCTCCATCATTCAGTGGTAACAACGCAAGTCCGAGACATATAATGCGGTGCAGAAACGTGTGGCACTTCAGCTCTCTTGCTCTTGTCATTGGTGCGGTACTCATACCCCTGCACGGTTATATTGACAGGCACACCATCAGCTTTATGTACTGTAACCATTCCCTTGCATCGTTCAAGTATCTCTCGACTTGCAGTAGGTCCTCGTAGACATGTCAGGAATGCCATTCCGGGAGGTTTACGAGTGTCGGAGGCCCCGCGCGGAGGAGCCGGCCAAAGTATCACTTCTCGAGGATCTACTGCTAGGGCTTGTTGCAGTGCCTGCATATCACCTTTGAGCCGATCAAGCCTTCTAATAACCAATATAGAGTCCCGAGGAGACACTGCTTCGACTAACCGGCTGAGGTCTCGAAGATTCAGTTGCGGGTTTGCAGGAGCACGACTCGCAGCTACCGCTCGCTGTAGATGTTGGCGGAACACTCGATCAGTCGACAAGAGCTTCTCCAATGTCTGAGGTGTCACACAAGACGTAATAATAGGATTACTTAGGACCTGACAAGAGCGAGTGCAGCCTCCTGAGAAATCCGCGCTCTACCTTAACCAACATGTCCACGCAACCCTTCCTATATGTTTCGTTATCACATGCGTGCAAGAAGTCAACGGCTCGATTAATGCATTCATCGGCTGCTGACGACGAACGTGTGGCCATTAGGTCATACACACAAAACCTATGAGTCTGTCATATCCCTTATACCGAGGGTAATACGCAACGCATAGGCCCCTGAGGAGTGGATACTTTCGGTTTAACGTCGAGGTAGTAGTTTAGTAACAAGGATGACAAGAGTACAGTGAGGACGTGGTCGGGTATGGCTAAGAAAGTTATACAGCAAAGTATGTGGGGAACTTCGAGATGCAGACCCGACTTCAACAATTCTACAGGGGTAGCCATAACGATTCAGATTAATACACATATCCTGATTCAACAGAGATGGCCAAACTAAGTCTTGAACAGCTCCTCGAGCGCTGACATGTTAACGCGGTTGCTCAGGGATCGGGCTTTCTTCGATAGGGCCATCTGAGTTGCCTCCAATGCCGAATCCGCTGGGCCCATGGCTGAAAAGCAGAGCAGACTTCTAGATCTAACTCTACGGTGTCGTTACCAGTTGAATGAACCGGGCGTTTCCTTGGCTTGTAGGTACCATTACGTTTAGCCTCATCCTCAGCTCTCTTCTTCGCCTTCCGTTGTTCATCACGTATTGCCCATTCCATGAGATAGGGCTTATTCCACTGATGCCAGATAGCAGACTTAGCCTCCGATTCCTCTGGCGTTAGAAGGTACCTACCACCGTGATGAATACGTATAGGCAGACATGATGCTAAAGCCAATCACTAGTACCCTTCAATCTCAGAATCACTAACATCTGATATGGATTCCTCATCATCATCCAGTGGCCGCTTATTCTGTTTGGCATCTTCTTCCAGTAAGGTACTAGGGTCGGCGTCATCGCTAGCTGCGGCAGTCCTTCCAGCTACTGTATCCAACTTCGCTATGAGTTCACCATCACTCTCGACACCAGAAGTGGCTGTTGATCGCAGGGCATTGTACAGCTCATCCACTAAAATAGACGAGACACCACTCATTTTCTCACACGGACATACTGGTTAATAGTCGATATAGTGTACGAGACGGCTGATCCACCGGTATACCGAGACACTACAGCATTTCCAAGTCTAATCAATTTCCTACCGACAAATTTAACTTCTTACCCATCTGGTTGATATTATACCCATGGCTTTAATAATAGACCAATAAAATTATTAGTATACCCGATTTATTTGAAGGTCTAATTTAACCAAGAACATGCGCGATAACCACCCGCACGTGGTGAAGGTCGATGACAACTCGAGGAGTCGCGTCGCTGCTCCGGCAGTTATATTGATGTTGCACTTGCCTCGCTCGCCGCCTATCTCCAATGGCTCGCTGGGAGAAGAGTCAATGATGAGTATCACCAAAAAATCAACCTGTTCAACTGCTTTTATGCTTTTCCTGTGTAATTCTACCGTATGATGTCTCCCTTCTTCAGCACAATAGAGTCTCAGTGCATTCCGTGCTATCTTAAAAGTGGTCCTGGTCCACTGGACCACTGGTCTATTGTTAACTCTGCACGCGCGCATTATCAATGGGAGCGCCTTGGTTGAATAAAACTCCCAAACTTTCAAATAAACCGGGTATAGTATTAATTTTACTGGTTTTTTCCAATTAAAGCCATGGGTAAAGTGTTAACTAAAAAGGTAAAATACTAACCAAATGGGTAGAAAATTAAATTTATCGGTAAAAACTAATTTGACCTGGAAATGCTGTAGATTGCAAGTATGATGTCCCAGTGAATAACACTATGCCCTAATGGCCTCCCCTCACTACATTCTGGTAAATCTCCCTCACTCGCACCCGCCGTAGGATCAGTACTGCTACTACTGCTGCTCGGCTTGGCCTGACTGGATTCAGCATCATGATGGGTAATGTCAGTAAGCTGGGGATGCTCGACTTCC